GCAAAAGAGACATTGCTATCCACTAGTCTCTGTTTCATTCTGTTTTCCTCCACTCTATGTCTAGCGAGAAAACTCCCTATTTTATCTGCAAAGATGTCCCATCCTGAGTTAAAAGACAACTCAGGGATGATTATAACGGACCTCCTTCTACCTCTTATATTTATCAGGCTAAAGTATCTGCCGTGTTTGTTGAAATTCCTAGCACAGAAAATTTCCGAGAGGGATTCTGTTTTCTTCCACCTTCTGACGGAATTTCCTTTTTCCTTTGAAGCTTCCTGCAAGATCTGGGTGATCCATATCATAGACCTCTTGCTAAAGGAGGTTCTTGTGATGACCCTTCTGCTCCTTTCCGTCCATTCGTACCATTCGCCAGCCATATCGCTAATTCTCTCGATGTCAAAAGACTTAAAACCTATCGCAAAATAAATACAGTCCTCCATAATAGAGGAAGGTTTAACAGAAAAGGATGAAATTGAGGGTTTCCGGTGATCGGAAGGACCACCGAAAAGGGGATGATGAGGTGAATCTAAAACATATTTTGGGAACTGTGTCTGGGAGAAAAGTTTTAGACAATGTTCTTTCCCATCTACACTTCAAGTTTGTCCATATACTTTTTTCTTGTATTACATCATCTTTATTTGTCCCTTCACTGGAGGTCCCTAAAACCTCACAACTTTTCTATAGTTTTTGCCTTTGAAAAGACTGCTTATAGATGCTTCTCATTAGATTAATAGGTTTGCAGTCCTTGATTTTACTGCTCGATCAACAAAGTTACTGCTTATCAAAAATAAATTTTACTGCTCTATCATTTGTCTGTATTATTGTTATGAATGTGGCATCAAGGCACTTTCCTAACTCTCGTCCTTCATCATTTCCCAACACTGAAGAAAGTAAAAGTTTTTTTTTTGACAAAGGTAACAGTTTTGTGTATTAATCTTCAACACTAAAGGCTGGGATCCCAAATTTACATCATGGAGCTACATACAGTTGCGAGTACTCAAAACAAAACAAAACTAGAATCTACTTCAACTTACAAAGAACCTAGGATATCTATAACAACTATAGGATCATCTACATACTCCAAACTGCACCAATAGCAAAAAGTGATTATGCAATTCATTTTGATCCTGTGTAAGGGACTACTAATACTCTCAAAGCATCTCATATTTCTTTCCTTCCATATGGTCCACCAAATCACTGCTGGGACAATTCTCCATCTGCTTTGGTCTGTACTGCCACTGCCTTCAGTGTTCCAGCTTTCTATAGCCTGACTTGCCCTTTGTGGCATGGTCCAGTTTGTGCCCCTGAAGCTAGTAAATAAGTGCCACAATTGTCTGACCACCTTGCAATGAAGAAACAGATGGTTGGTTGTCTCTGCCTTTAGCTCACAAAAAAAACATCTAGGACACATATGTATTCCCCTCTTCATTAGATTCTCCTGTGTTAGTACCGCCTCTTTAACTACCAACCAAGTAAAGACTGCCACCTTATATGGAATTTTGACTTTCCAGATAAGCTTCCAAGGCAAAAATCTGAGTTGAGTCCCCATTTGATTCAGGTTCTTGTAGGCAGAGCTAACTGTGAAGATACCTTTGCTGTGATGAATCCACGTAAGAGTGTCTTCTCCCTCTTTCAATCCTCCAAAATGGTCCAGGGTGCCATAAAATTCAGCTAGTCTATCCACCTCCCAGTCTTGTATCATCCTTCTGTATGTTAAGTTCCATCCATGGATGGACCAAACTTCTTGCACAGTGGCCTCATGTTGCTGATTCAACAAGTAGATGTCTGGAAAGAGCTGTTTGAGGCTGCCATTTCCCATTCTGTTCACCTCATTAATTGGAAAAATCAGACTTTTCCTCCAGTTGATATGTAGTCCTGAAGTTGCTTCAAAAAGAATGAGTATCACTCGCAGGATCTTAAGTTGGCTTTCTTCTGCATCACAGAAGATGAGAGTGTCATCTGCATATTGGAGATGAGTGACTTCCAATCTTAGATTCCCCTCATTTGCTACATTAAAGCCCCTTATCCACCCTTTAGTGTGAGCAGTCTTTAGCATGTTGTTTAGGCCTTCCATCACTATAATGAATAGAAAAGGTGAGAGAGGATCACCTTGTCTTAGTCCTCTGTCTGATGAAAAGAAGCCTTCAGGAGATCCATTTATCAGTATTGAGAATTTAACAGTGCTTATACAAAACTTTATCCATCTGATCCATTTCAATCCAAAGCCCATTCTCTGCATGATTTCAAGTAGGAAGCTCCAACTGACATGATCATACGCTTTCTCTATGTCCAGTTTGCACATGACTCCTGGGGACTTTTCCTTCACTCTCGAGTCTAGACACTCATTAGCAATTAAGATTGCATCAGTTTTTTGCCTTCCTCTTAGGAAGGCCATTTGTTGAGTATCTACTAGCTTGTGCATCACTTTCTTTAATCTTTCTGTGAGAATCTTGGCAATCAACTTGTAGACACTTCCAATTAAACTGATTGGTCTAAAGTCTCTCAATTCCTTTGCAGCACTCTTTTTTGGGATGAGAGCTATGTATGTTGCATTAAAGCTCTTTTAAAAAAACTCCTGGGATGTTCCTGAAATATTTGTTTTCTTTACCGAGTCAAATGCACACTAATTTTGCCTATTAGCAAAATTGTTTGCATTGATTGCTGCATGGAAAGTAGGAATATTCTGTCGGGATAGAGTAATAATCAAAACTTCTCAGGTCTAAGTGGTCATAACAATCCAGTTCCCAATGCTCTTTCTCTCTTCTACTTCTTAGGAGAGAGGAACCCCATCTTTTTCCGGCATCCTCCACCAGAATCAGCCTTTTTTTAATAGCCAACAATAATCACCCACTGTGATTATTGATAAATCACCCACTAGTAGGATGGAGGAGAATCGAATCTATTTCAATGCTGGTTTCAAGTCTTTTGATATCACCAGATGGGAAACTGAGAAAGCTGAATGGTACGAATGGGTAGAGAGAAGCAGAAAGATGATGCACAGATCGTCCATGAGTAGAAAGGTGTTGGAATGGATCTGTCTCTGTCTAAGAGAAGCATCCAAAGAGAAAAAGGAGACAAGGAGGTGGAAATTAGCTGAGCAAGAGGCAGTGCATTTTTGCACGAGAAA